AAGGGTGAAACCAGATAAACCATGGGTCACCAAAAGGGCGGGCAGAAAGTCCTCACTTAATGATCCGCGCAAAGGTGCAGCCATGGTGATACGTGGACTAGACGGACTGGCGGGGGGATCCACAAAATGCAATAATTGCCCCAACTATGTCGAGCGGTGCAGGCAGTTAGTGCCAAAAAGAGGATAGAAAATCTGCCTGCCAGCGGCGTGAGTGGATTATCAAGACCCACGCACCCGCGGAGTCACTCGTTACGAGGGTCGCTAGCTGTATCCTTTGACTCTATGATATCACTCGCGGAAGCCCTTACAACAGGGTGCCGTATGAAGGATCAGGCAAGAGGTGCTATTCGATGTCGCGAAAGTAAACCATAGTTCACTGGGCTGGAGGGTAGAGGGCAACCCCAAGAACGCCACAGATTGTACTGATCACAAAAGAACTATTTGGTGGACTATTTCATGCAGACATGGTGATAAGCACTACCGTACCATCGGTGCCAGGATGCCAGGAAAAACTAAAAACGGAGGCATTCCAGTCCAGTATGGACTGGCAGTCGGGACCCGCTGCAACAGCACACCAGTTTCCGTACTGCACCGAGCCCGGAATGTAGCTCCTTGGCATGCTTCTACAGTAGTGTAAGAGACCCTGGAAATAAACCACTGGAGCTACGATCAATGTACAATAACCTGCATGCAAATATAATTTTCACTTCGGAGACCGGCAATGTTTGGCCAATTACCGGGCCACTTGTGGTGCCGTTTCACCATAAACCAAACTAAGCGCCGACCAGTGGTGGCGCATGGGCCTTGTCTATGCACAACAGAGCATAGGACACAACTGCTCACCGCCATTTCGACATCCAACTCGCCAGCCTGCGATGATGTAGTCCCCTCTAGAGACTTCAACTCACCGACTCGACCTGGGATGCGGAGCAGGATGCAGACACAAGTCTTTTGGACTTAGACTTCAAAATGCGTTTATGGCGGCGGCACCAACAGAGAAAGTTAGGAAAAACAGCTGGGGGCCAATGGAAGGGGATTATCTCCTGACTACCTTATAACAGACTATGATGTTTCGGCGGACGATGTGTGTCAAACCGCTTTAGGCAAAAGTGATCACGCCTTGGTGAGGTTACCCCCGATTACCGAGGAGAAACTACCGATGGCTGAGCCAGATGCGTTTGGCTTTTACTGAAAAGTAGACTACATGACCACAAGAATGGCATTCACTGTCGACAGATGAACATTAGATGCATGACAGAAATATTACTTGAGGTACTACGGAAAGCGTTGCTCCTGAACTAATCAGGCGACCACCTCTCAGACGGTCTTGGGTAACTCGCCCAACCTAAAGCCAAATACAGGGGAGAAAGATGTGGTATCGGTGGCCCAAAGTACATGAGGACTTGGACGTTTTAGCCACAAGAAGTTACGGAACTTATGCGACGTAGATGTTCGGAATGACGGGTTCAAACAACAGGGGAACCTGGCCAAACAGCTGGGTTACGATTCGAAAAACCTATATATGTTTATCCCACGATGAAAACCGACCTTCAAGGGTTTAAATTTGAACACGGGACCGACCGGAGAGCCCTTAAATGGCAATGAGAAGCGAAAATGTTGAGCGGCCTATTCAATGAGCAGCTCAGCCCATGGCGCATCCACTATCAACACACAGTAATGTTATGAAGTTCCAGGACTGCAACGCTAAGCTGATGAAAGTGTTTGCGAAGCTTTCAACTCTGAGAATAAGAAAATTTCCGGGTTGTGACTATTTAAGCCCGGCGATCCTACGGAATTGTGTAGAAGCGCACACTTATGTGCAACCAGTTCAAGCACTCGTCGGAAGTAAGTCGACTCAATGAAGAATAAAAGGGTGATATCCCTTCTCAAATGTTCAAGGGCGGAGATAGAAAAAGCCCGTGCAGTTACAGACCGATGGCGTTACCTCCCATACCATCCAAGTTGCTTGAAAGCCTGGTTGCAGATCTTGTTCGGGTCTACATGAACTGGAAGTGCGTCTTTCTTCCCGCCCAATATGGCTTCAGAACCGGACGATCATGTGCCACAAACTTGATGGCTTGGGACGACTGGACCACCAGATGGGACGACTAGCAGCCAGTCCTCGTTATCTTTCTGGATTTGGCCAAAGCTTACCATAGCGTTCCACACCATACCATGCTCGCTAGACTTTCAAAAGTGGGTATTTCTGAATCACTCTTGGCACAGTTTGCAGCATACCTAGTAGACGGGGAATTCTGTACCAAAGTGAGCATAATTCGATAAGCCTGGAGAGGTGCTGGAACAGAAGTTTCCCATGGAGCTATCCTTAGGCCACTGCTGTTTTTACTGTTCACCGGTGACCTTCCCATTAAAATTTCCTCATCCACCCTCCTATTTGTCGACTACATCAAAATATGGAAGGTAACAGGTTAGGAGAAGGACCGTAGGAGACCCCAAGACAATCTGTTGCAGCTGGATTCCTGGTCTGCCGCGGGCGGTTTAAGCTTTAACCCGGCGAAATGCAAGGTGATGTATCTTCTCAAACCAGAAGTGATGAAAGCCAGTTACACAGTCGACGAGTGTCCAATGACCAGGGTATCCAAAAAGAAGGACTTTGGACCAGACTTCTCTGACACACTGGACACCACTGACAAGGGAATGTCGGCAAAGGCTGGTGCCATCATGTACTCTCTGAGCAGGCAACTTGGAGCTCCGACTCCAGAATTATATCTCATGGTATTTAAAACCTGTGTTAGGCCACTCCTAGTGGTGTTTAACACGATAGACCCCCACTACTAAAGGGAGGTCCGAATACTGCCAAGGGGATACAGAGAAGGTAGACAAGGTCGGTTGCCAGGATAGCAGACAAAACATACGCACAACACCTCAGCCTGTTCACATTTAGCTATCGAAGGAAAAGAGGTGAACTAATGGCGGCCTACAAGATCACTCATCCAGTGAACCGCCAAAACAGGTCGCTTATAACAGCCCAAAACCGGCAGTCTCGAGGGAACACCACTCGCATACCCCACCGTAGGGCAAAGATGAGAGTGAAATCAAACTCCTCACGCGGAATGTGTGCCTTATGGAACGCCCTGCCGAAACAAGTGGCTACAGCCACATCAGGTGACACCTTCAGATAATTGCTGGATAGGTACTTGAGCACAAACAGCCTACCACGAACATTCGTCGGTGACAACTGAAGGGATACTCATCCTCCCTGTATCCCCAGACCCCAGTATCTGCAATAAGACGCGTCCCCCCAACACGTTATTATCGGTTACACCAGTTTTTCCGCAAGTACTTTTCAGTCTCATTTTTCTCGCTCCCCATTCACCCTATTTGTAGCAATGTCAAATTAGCGCCTTATGCTTACCCACAGGTGATTACAATAACGGGAATTGCCAAGGATTAATTGATCCTATCAGCAGCTTCATTCTTCTCCCGAGAAAAGCAAACCAACCCACAATTTGCAAGAAAAAATGCCTCCGTATGGACAGTTGCTGCCTCTAAAGCCAGAAAAACATGAAGACTTCCGTGACTACCAAAAGAGTATTACCGAACGAAAAGAACCGAGCCTGAAGACTCGAGTTCAGCCCATTTGTGCCAAAAGACTCCTCCGTTAGGAAGTATCAGGGGGTGGGAGTTGTGATAAGTGCTGAAGGAAGGGAGTTCCAATGTTTGCAAACTATAACTGCCGAAGAGTTGGCATGGATCTTTGTACGTGCCCTCTCATGCTCTACTCTTAACGGTCGACCCCTAAATTCGCGTCTCCGGTTAAAGTTTCAGAGGACCTTGTTAGGATCAAAGGGATTATGTGCGATGTGGTACATCGTGATCATATCCTCTCTGGTCCTCCGGTATTGTACCGAATGCCGCTGCAGAGCAACCGAGCGATCCAGGCAAGGTTTGTACCGTAACCCAACCACTTTCTACGCATCTCTTCTCTCAACCCGTTCCGGGATGGCATGTCTTAATTTAAGTATAAGGATATCACGAGCCAATTTATCTCGAAATGGAGGCGAGTGTATGGTGAAAAGAGGGGGCTCTGGACTCCTCAACGTTCGAGGAAGTAACCCCTAGGCTCCGTAGGCCTGGTTGGCTGCAAGGCGACAGTGGACCAAAGTTCTTAGTGTGTCCCTTGGAGTAACTCCAAGAACTCGTTCCACATTAGACTGACAGTTATCTATTTCACCCAGTGGGTAAGAACTGTAACTGTTTTTATATTCGCCGATAATCATTATCCCACACTACTTCGAGTAAAGAGGGAGCAATATCTCCGCAGTTCAACTTAAAATTATCATAAGGTCCTAATGGAGGACCAAAATATCGGTTGGCACGTGTATTTCCCTCGAAATCTTAATAATTTAGGAAGTGTCTTGGTACGAACTTGACAGACGTAGAGGCCGATCACTAATTATCCGCAACTGTTGTGTGCCCACGACTACTAGACCAAGGAAGAACACGATAGCGAAGTCGGATGGAATACTATATTTACGAGGTCGTGCCAAGATGCCGAAGCGTTCCAACTAGCTAACTAGAGGGTCTATTGGAAGCCGTGCAACGTAACATGACAGCATGCCAAATGGAGTGGATGCTTGACCGTCCACCTTCAGCTTAGCGAGTCTGATAAAACCATGAGTGTCAGCATCAATGTTGAGTCGCATCGAACCCTAGGCTGTTGATTTTGGAGGAGTGTGTGACGCTACAAGATCATCGGCACATAATGGTGGTTCAGGATTGAGCAATCCTAGTATGCCGTCGGTGAAGGGAGGAAACAGTAGTCGACTCAGAAGAGAACTTTGAGGCACACCATTCAGCATCGGGAACCAACTAAATAAAGATGAGTCAACTCTAACTGCAACCTAGTTTGAAGATAATCTCTCGATCAAATTAGTAATTTTCCGTGTACACCTGTAGGCTTAAGCCGATTACACATGGTATCATAATTATTCTTGTCAAAGGCATTAGAAAAGTCAAGTCAATCCATGTGAAAGGACGTCGGAAATGTGGAGGGGGATATTCGTTCCTCTCAAGGTCATCTACACTAAGTGGTCTGAAGTAAGTTATTTTGCCTTTAGGACAGTATCAAAGAGGAAAGTTGAACTTTGCATCATGTTCAAAATATTCCTATTTTGACACTGTTTTGAGTAACGAAGTCTTTACTTGAGTCGTCTATATAGACGATTCAAGCTTACTACGTGGGCCTAATAGATATATCCATTGGGCCTGTGTAATGAACTTTAATCTAGTTGAGGACTGCTTCTTAGTGAGCACAAAATGCTAACACAACCAGGACACATTTATGCAGCATTTTGCCTTGAAACATTCCAACATGTACGTTCGACCACTCTTATCATATGTTGTTCCGATGTCAACCAATACTTCTCGCAACATTTTTAAACTGCACAGTCAGTTTCCTCACTAAGAAACCACGTGTCATGTAAATAGTAATATCATAACAATCTCGACCATCACTTACCAAGTGTTATTGATTTCCGTAGCAAATGTGAGTAGGAATATTCATAAATTTGCGGTTTCTGCTTTCTAACATTCATCCCGCTGGTAGTGTTCCTTATTAGGACACTATTTCGGCATGCTCAGAATGAAGCTACGACCTTAAGAAGTCCAGTGTTAACTGATATGACACCACAACTAATTGTAGAAGTTTAAGATATCATATCTAACGTCATCACCATCTTCCATATTTAATTCATTGTTGGCGGGCTACTTTAAAAACGAAGAGAAGTTAGTGGTGACTCACTTGGGAACTTATTGAAAAGCTTGGATACCAGCAAATCCTATCTTAATAAATTATGGATCGTCAAGTGCCATCTTGGCCTATATAGATACCAAAATTTTATTTCACCCTTGCGAACGACAAGCCGGACTAAGTTTATCTCTCCCTTTACTTCTAGGCCTTTTTGAATGATCTTAGATCTTGAAAGTTTCATGCACAAAATGAGAGCGATTGGGATAACATTGCAAAGTATGGATAACTTGAATTACGATGTAAATGGGATTATTAGATCTCGAGATATTTTGTTATTAGAGACAAATGTCAGCCTGCCGTGACTGAAGTAGGGAATCTGAAGGACCTGTTCATGTTTTCAACTCACTTTCTCCTACCTTTATCACCTAAGTCTGTAATATGGCAATATATTTTAACCATTAAATTAACTCAATCAATGCGACCCGTTGGCAGATAGAATAAGTCAACAGAACTTTGGACAGAAGTGTATACGTTACAGTTGCTACTTTTCGCAGTAGCATGGATGGAAAGTGGGTGGAAAAAAGCTGGTATCAAAATAGACTAAACTGTGTTGGTCATCCATCATCCATCCAAATCAACATAGGACCAAGCATTACTGAGTAACGGTCCGGGTTGCCACAGCTCATGTCAGTACATCAGGTAAAAAGGCAGTGAAGTGGAAGATGAAGAACAGGAAATTCAGCCAAAAAAAATACAAAGTACGAAAAGAGAGGAAGGAAGAATGAGAAAATGGTGAGATTTGGTGAAGCGTTAAGATGAAGATAATGCGTGTATACATCTGCGCCACTGACATCGGTTCTGAGCCATGCCGTCAACCAGAATCTCCAACCACTGGTTTCTCTTGTCCTGTGGACCGCAACCGGCTAGTCTGCATCGCCCCAAATGGCTCAAACCAACAGTCAAACACTTTATATATTGATGCCATGTTTAGGTCTGGGTGCCACCGGCGTTTTTCCAGGCTGAACCTACTTCGGCGAACATTGTGTGACGAGGCAATTGGAGACTACGCATAAGTAACATGTATCCCAACCATCTTAGTCAATGAAGGTTCACAACTGTGTCAACTGACTTACCTCTTCTCCCTAAAACTCTACACCTGACTTCTGCATTGCTCACGTGGTGACACCACGGAATACGGCCTATACTACGAAGGCAACGGCGGTCAAACACCCGAAGCCTTCTCATGTCTTTCACCTTCAGTGGCCATGTTTCACAGCCATACAGTAGAACAGACCGGACTGCCGTGCAGTATACGCGACCCTTAGTAGACAATTGAGTATCACGGTGGCGTAAGTTGGCAAAAGCCAATGGAGCCTTTTGTATCCGCGCAGAGATTTCATCGGCAACTGACCCACCAGGGCTGATCCTACTTCCCAGGTAAGTGAAGTGGTCAACACACTCAACCACTTCACTCTTTATTGTTAGCCGTGGCACCGCGGAAGACCAGTCCTGGAGCAACAATTTGCATTTGGGTGGTGAGAAACGCATCCCAAACATTCTCAAATTACCACTCAGAGTTCAGAAGACTCTGCATCTTGTCAGCGTCTTCACTTAACAGGACTATGTCATCTGCATGTTCTAGGTCTAACGAAAATTCTCCTGTGATTAGATCAACCTCTGTTTAGTCAGGTGACAAGACGGAGACCTCTATAAGAATATCCATGATAAAACTGAATAGGAATGGAGAAAGTGAGCAGCCTTGGCGGGCATAGCGCTCCGGACATCTCACTATAGGCTCTAACACGTCCACAAGTGTTCAAGTAGAGAGCCTTCAATAAGGTGATGTACTTACTCGGCACGCCTTTTAGTGAGAGACATTGCCATAAAACTTCTCAATCAACGGAGTCGAATACCACCTTCAGGTTGAGAAATACAGCTATTATCGGTAAGCGTGCCTGTGTTCCAGAACCTGGAGCAGTGTGAATATTTGATCGATGCACCCGCGGCCGGGTCTAAAGCCTACCTGATTTTCTCAAGCTTTCTGTCCCTGAGCTCCACTCAGGCGTCAAAGAATTACAGAACCCAGAATTTTACATACTATATTCGTCAGGCCGATTCCTCTGTGGTTATTACAAGAGGACTTTTCGCCTTTCTTGAAGACTGGAATGATCAGTGATTTAGACCAGTCAGAGTGGATCGTATTTGATTCCCATATGCTAGTTAAGTTTCTATAACCTGACTAAGAGCATTCTACCAGCATCCTTTTATACCTCAGGAGTTAGTTCGTCTGGTCCTGCCGCCCTTCCTCGTTTCAAGTTACCTACAGCTTTCCCGACTTCTGCAAGTCTTGGGGGGCCTATCTCTATGTTCCATTCAGGATCGGAGTGGATAGCGAGCAACGCAGGGCTGACTGTAGGCCAGTTAAACTTTTCCTCAAAGTGTTCTGCCCATCTTTCTAGTCGTCCTCCCTGCGAGTGAATCGCGGACCCATTCTTCTCCACTATGGTCTCACTAACCGTTGTTGACCTTTTCACTGTAATTTCCTTAATAAGTTTAAATAACTGTCTACTGTTACCAATCGCCTCTGCATTTTCTATCTCTTTAGTCTTCTCTTCCCACTGATGTTCACGGTCGTTGCGTAGACTTTTTCCAATCTACTTTAAGTTACGCTCGCTCTTTGTTGTGCTTAGAGCCTGCAGGGATGCGTTCATGTGCATCCATTAGTTCGAAAGAAGCTGTTGATATCCACTGGCTCTTTTTAGCCACTTTCGGAGTTGGCTACTGTCTTCAGCACTGGTTTTGTAGCAGACTGGAGATGGCACCAAGCTTCTTCTGAATGAGTGCTGTTCTGTCCCGATAACTACCTAGCTAGCTTCTCATTGAACGCGGCTTTGGTGTTTTCCTTTCCAGCAGCATTCGTAGTGGTTGTGTTGTCAAATTTTTCTTAATGCTATGGCTACACCTGCAAGACCGCGAGGGCTAGCCATGGAATCTTTAGAAACTCGAAGGGTGCACTTTGCGGATTCACCACACTGGCCGGGAAAGGTTAGGTGAATAACCGCACTTGAGTCCTGTATGCGAGTCTCACAAACACCACGTATCCATGGCCCGAGTTGCTGGAGTCTTGGTCAGTGGAACCTGTTGACCACTTTGACGGAGGGTGCGGACATTGAAGGCCCCGATGTGTAGTTTGGAGCGTAGTTTAAGGAGATCAGGGATGCTGTTCTGTGGATTCAAATCGTTGTCGAAGGCTACAGAGCTAGGAGAAATTGAAGATGATGCAGTATCGTTAATTGAGAGACGTGAAGCAGGGTTAGAAGGTAACAATGAGGGAGCTGAATAGCAGTCTGAAGAAACTTGAGTGTTGAAAGACTTGTGAGGGCGGCCGACACTTCTCGGTTGTCCACACCGTGGAAGGCTGTTTCTTCTTAAGGTACCTAAAAGAGATTTTTATGGCCACAGAGCCCGTAGGACATCTGCTTGAGGACTGTTACACGCAGCTTTTTGTGCATGATTGTTTTTGGGCTGGATGGTCGAAAAAAACGACAAATGAACCAACACCGCCGGCCCGGCAGACCTTGGGGCATAGTTGAGTGTTATTTTGGGGCCAACCTTTTCTAACCCCCTCTCCTCTGAGAAGGCAGCATCAGCATGGTACTACTGGTCATCTAAGGGAAACACCTTACTGCTGTCACCCCATCCAGATAGCAGCAGTACGACTTTGCCCTCAGACCCCCATTATAGTGTAGTAATTTCCACCACAATGGTATCTGCTTTTCGTCTAACCACTATCCAACAGACCTTTCTGGTATGGTAGGACCTCGACGGAACAAGTGTTCCACCAGCATAGCTTGTTGGGTCATTGTGATATGCAATCTTGACCACCACGTCACGGTAACAGCTATCGGTCGGTTGGTAAAGAAACAATATAAGAGTACATGTGAAAATGTTCGAGCTCAAGAAGTCGAAGATTGAATAAGTCTGCACCATTGTTGCCGATTTCCAATGGTCACGTAGGGTCCTCAACCACTAATTCCTGTCGTCTCGGAGTTTCCAGCCAGGTGGTCTAAACCTTCTCACACCAACAAGCAGCAACCTCATGGACTTCTGTCACGTCTTGGTCTGCTCACTCTAAGCCTTCTAACCTAATCCGAACTACACTGGCATTTCACATCGAGGTCGGTGGTGATTCGGCATGCGCAATACATGCCCAACCCATTTCTGTAGATGAAGGTCCACAGCCTCATAAACTGACTTGCTTGTTTTGCCTGGTACGCCTTGCCTGACCTCAACATGGCATCAATATATAAAGTGTTTGACTGTTGGTTTGAGCCATTTGGGGCGATGCAGACTAGCCGGCTGCGGTCCACAGGACAAGAGAAACCAGTGGTTGGAGATTCTGGTTGACGGCATGGCTCAGAACCGATGTCAGTGGCGCAGATGTATACACGCATTATCTTCATCTTAACGCTTCACCAAATCTCACCATTTTCTCATTCTTCCTTCCTCTCTTTTCGTACTTTGTATTTTTTTTGGCTGAATTTCCTGTTCTTCATCTTCCACTTCACTGCCTTTTTACCTGATGTACTGACATGAGCTGTGGCAACCCGGACCGTTACTCAGTAATGCCTGGTCCTGTGTCGGTAGATGATGATGATGACATTGCATTCAACCAAAGGGTTACGGTTTGTTGCCCGCTCCACCTACCGAGATTTGAACAGCCAGATAGTATCACTAGCCCTCACACAATAGGTGTGGCTCATTATCCACTACACGGATTAGTTTGGGAAAGGGTTCAGGGTGGTCAGACCATGACTTAACACCAGTCCATGAAGTCCCTGACTATTGGCCTGATCCATATGGGGGAGATGTAGACTACCTGGCTGGGGACCGGAGACGATAGGAATCAGTGGTTGTGGACTCTTGGTGACGTGGTTGAAAATCGGCCACAGTGGCGCAGACGTATTCACTCTCTGACATCTAACGCTTGAATATGTGCACTAACCTTTATTTCCGGATTGTTTGTTCTCTCATACAACTTTGTCTACTTTAATATTCTTTTTATCCACTTGTATATTACTGTGAAGTGTGGCAACTTGGATCGACTAACTTGTGTGCGAGATTCTGCACTGATTATTTCTCTCCACCTGTCTCTGTCCATTTCTAAAGCCTACATGATTTTCTCGCGTGTGGTGTTTTCGAGCTCCCGTTAGACATCGGATAACTATGAATCCAAGGATCTGCAACATGGTGTTATTGAAATTGATTTTCCACTGATTTTCGCAAGAAAACTTCTCCGCCTTCTTGTCGACCGGAATAATCAGTGAAGTAGACCAGTCTGATGGAAGTACCTCTGATTCACATAGGTTGCTTACTACCTATGCTACTCTTCCGAGTAACTTCCTGCATCCGTCCTAAAAAAGATTCGTGTGAAAACCATCAGGTTCTGCTGCTTTGCGAGATTTCACGTTTGAAACAGCCTTCTCAAGGACAGTTGAAAGACCGACATCTACTTCCCATTCAGGCTCAGACTGGATGTTGGACGACTGAAACCCTGCTGTGTCGGTTGGTCTGTGCTTCAGTGTTCTGCTCAACTACCAAAGCATGTTTCCATAATGCCACCGTTTTTGAAAGTTGAAAGAATTGAGTGATAGCATAAGGCTTGCGATTTCCAGGTGAAATACTTGGAAAATCGTTGGCTCCAGGTTCGGTAACCAACTAACGGTAGCCAAAAGTATTTGAAATGGCTCAGCATTGACTGAGTGTTGGCCAAAGTTTTATAGGCAGCTCCAGTGACTATGCGTTCCCCGAATCGGTCCTGGATATTTCCTAAATGAGTATCAATAGAAATTAAAAACTAAAAATTTTTGCTGTATCAAATGTAAAATCATGGAGCCCACCTCAATGGAGAAAATAGGGTTACTGTCAGAAACTCCTTCTTCGAGTTTTACACTATGTCTTTTATCTCTCTATCTTATTCTGTATCCTTATGAAGTTTCCTGCGCGCTTGGCTCCGAGCGCAAAACACTTTTGGTGCATTTTGAAGTGCGTGATTGTTCTTGGAATCCGACCTTTAACTTGGTAGTCGTTGGTTCGAACTCTTCCCCATCTACCCAAGGTTAGGTAGCGTGATAGTACTCCGATATGGTGATCGACCTTGCATATCACAGTGACCTAAAAAACTATGCTGATGGGAACATTTTTGTAATCTGACGTCCTACCTTGTCAGAAAGATCTGTCGGATAAGATGTTCATTTACTTTGGAACGGGACAGAAAACAAAACCAGCATTGTGTTAGCGTGTTTAACTGCAATAAAAAGCAGCGATTCAAGAAATGTATTCAGATGTTTTATACAAGCCTTTCAAAGCTTCAATTTAGCGTTAGTCGTAGTGTGAAAAGAGTTTGAAATCATTTATAAAAAGAACAAGAAAGCTCGGTACCCTAACTTTCATGGTTAACACGGTGTAAGAGTGAAAGAAATGTAAATCAAGGGTAAAATCTACATTATGAGGTGAATTATAACTCGTTTTCTAACTAAAACTGCTGCATAGAAGCCGATTATTTACATATACATGGAGTGTTGTAGAAGGTAATTCTGAGGGATGCCTATCGGAACGAAGTATAGAAAACTTGTGTAAAATATATTCGTTAGTGCTTTACGGTCATTTTGTGTCGACGAACATACGTACGTTGGTCAGGGTTTTGCTACAGCTTCTGGAAAGACATTGGGTTTCTGTCATCTTAGTTGTAATGAGTATATAATCGGGTTGGATATAGAAATATAGGGTTAACTAATACTCAGGTGGCAGGTACAAAGAAAAATATGCGTATAGTGCTAAGCATAATCCGGGAATATTTTGGTGGTGACGTTAAAGAAGGTAGAACTTCAGGTAAACAACACCAGCTTTGCGTCGAAAACTAAAGAAATCGAAAGTGCTACGCACTTTATAGCTCATAGAATGTTTGGGTTACAAAATTTGGGTACACTATGAAGCTTAAAAATATTAAAGAAACGTTTTGTTGCTGGGGGCATTTTTGGGCTTTTTAAGTCTGCTGAACAATTTTCTACCGGAAATTTTAGAGTAATGCGTGAATGAAACTAAGCAACCAAATTCAGGTCAGTACAGTAGCCAGTGCATTACACCTATTATGAGGACTGATGAACAGATCAACGTAGAACCACGCACAGTAATGCGTCACTTCAAGTTCCCACATTTTGCAACAAAATTCAAAGAAAATTTAGATAGCAAGAGTGCATAAGATGAGAGGATTTATCCTCTCGTGAAAATATTCGCGAATTCAAAGTTGAAAGATAGCCTATACACTTGCTCCGTTGCGATCAATTCGAAGTGTATCTCTAGATCTGTAACCGTGGATTTCAGTGATTTGAACGATCCCATCTTTTCAACTTCAACCTGTTTGCATGACAGCCCACCATTCAAAGACTCCATGTATGAGTGCCCAATTACCATCAGAATGAAACGGATGTAAGTACTGGCTAATAATAGCTTGTGACCAGTACACATCATAACATTTCCCATTATCCAACTTTTGATGGACTAATATCCGTTAACCACATTAACTACTCTCTCTTGAATTTATTGTGCACTGAAGTCATCAACTGACATTACGATATCTGTCAACTGAGCTTGATAGAAGTTATTCATTAGATGTCAAAGCTCATCCTTAACTTCATCTGGCCTTCAGTTCATTTGTGTTCAGGTAGAGATGATTCAGATAAATCCTTTCTTTTACAACCTTTTCCTAGTCCAAAACTGCCTGGTGACGCAGGTGATTACTACTTGAAATATAGTTGATTAGCGTAAATTTGACTCCAGCAGTTAGCGATATATCGATACTAACAAGGCGGGCTTCTGATATATAGGTATTGGATAAGCTCATGATAAGCACTTTTTGAGCAAATAGACGAAGTTATTTGAGGCACTTCACTTGCATTTTACATAGAAGTCTCTGATACAGTATGCATCGATAATGAGGCTTTTCGAAGATCTAACTAAACCTGTATTTATCTGAGCTGCAACAGTGTGTGTGTGTGTGTTGAAGGCAGTCGGCTTGAATAGTACTTGTGGTTACATAACAATGGCGTCAGATATTATACTACAGGGTAAATGCGCGGGCACGACTGTTTAGGAGCTCAAGACTATATACACCCACCCGAATTTTAAACAATGAAAATCAGCTGTCAAACAGATAAATAGACACTTTACGGATATCAAACCAAGTTGAGATTTCGTAGTACGAGAAGGTGTAGACAATGGGTAGTAGTAATCACTATTTTGGTATGTGTTCTTTAGTGAATTTACGACTAAAAAAGTTGTTTTAACTGTTTCCCTATTTAATGCTAATAGCTTAGTCAAAGTTATCGTAAACTGGAATTTACAATATACAAGCTTATATATGAGTTTTTAAAGATGGTTAGTTCTGCGTTGTCAAATCGTTCGTAAAGATGACGACGACATGTAGTGTATGATGGGTTTGTGAATTCCAGATTATGGTTTATAGGTATACATATGCTTATAATTTTTATCATGTATGTGCTTGTTATTTCAGTATGTGGAGGTGGTATAAATCGGGTCAAGCTATGCTTTATTTCCTCATTCTTGTGTAAATTTTTGATTCTACCTATTTTCGTTAGTCAAGTGTCAACTTTATAATGCGTTACGTTACTGAAGTGCTTATTCGTCTTCTAATAGGTATGCAGATATCGCCAAATAATTTGGTGTATACCACCTCACGCTACTACTTTATCGATCAGTAGTCCATTACAACTGAATGAGTTTCTTACGTAAGTGCTCATCCACTTCACTACCTTTTTATCAGATAAGACCTCAGTGTAGACCATTTTTGAAGCATCATTTTACATTTGTTAAATACGAAACCCCTACCAACGACTTCTAGGTGTTGTCTGTAAGGATTCAAAAACCTGTCTTTTGTCAGTTTTCCAATCTAAAGCATTAATGTTGTGTATGCTTTTTTCATACATCTTCAAGTTTCTCGCTTCACAGATCATTTTTGACAGGTTAGTTTGCTTTCTTACAGGTAGATGATACGTACTGGGAAATTCTTATATTCCTACATCTGCCGCTCATCATCAGTACGATGGTCAAGCTCTTTCGAGAGCGCACAAAATCCAGTCAATCTTTATCCAAGCTCTGACCCAAATGCTGTTTTCAAGAAACCTATTGAACTCAACGCGGTAAGCGTGTATCTCAATATTTTTTCATCATCTGAATATATTTCAAGTCAGGGAGCCAAGACAGCTTTGCCGGATATATTCCTATAGGTATAATATTATGGTTCATTTGGAGTATTTATTTCACTAGATGAACTTCAAATATCCTACTTGTACTCAGGTGGTCCAGGAGGACAACATGTAAACAAAAGTAGGTTATCTTTTGAAGCAGTGTGGTCTTCACATAGATTTCGTAAATATTTCCGATCTCAGACTACTGTTGCCTTTGTGATGAATACCAACTCGAAATATGAGTATGTTTGTCTGGTATGGATTTCACACCTGTCTGATTTAAAATGATTCTTCAGAACTCGTCTTCATCTACCTTAGCCTAAGAATGTAGAGTGAAGTGAAGTGGTAGAATACATTGAAAACTTCACTTTCTTAAGAAAAGTTGTATCAGCCTGAATGGGATGGCGACCACGTAGTAGCCCGGATGCAAAATCCCTGATCTGCATTTCCCAACGTACATCATCTTTGATATTAGCGAGATATCCGAATGCCGATTAAGAGATGAGTATACTGCATTGCAGTTGCCTCTGTCTATCTGATCATACGACTATGAAACATGCCCATTGAAGGTAGTGGATGTAGAGAGATTACAGGCTTTTGACCACTGGTATCGTATCAACATTTCCCACCTATGGGGGAGTCATCATATTGGCAAGGTTGAGGTTACGTTAAGGGTACTAGGGGTAAGGAAGGCGAGTCAGGCGATAGGATTGTGACTGAGGTGGTTTGGACATTTGTTGCACATGCCGAGTCACTACATACATCGACTTTCTTTGTTAGGCGAAGAAGGGTTGGAGTGGAAAGATGTTGAGGGTGGTGAGACGAATATGTAGTATAAGTCGATAAAACCTGTAACTGTTGATGTGAGTCGCGTGGGTGGTTGGTGCCCTCAGGATGATAGAAATCTGTAGTCTGGGATGGATTCGGTTCACACGGTATAGATTTATTAACTCTTTGACATCTTAGAAAGTTTGAACATTCTTTATATGCGTGAAGATTTTTTGCATTTTGGAAAGCTTTTATTTATTACAAATATATTTGAGATGAATATTTACACACAATGATAATATTTGGTGTGAGTAATATTTCTGAAAAACTAACGTCAATATAGATAAGCATTCATGACATATGTATATATATTTATAGTAAATTTGAACATTGTTACTAACACTGATTTTCATATTCCTTCCCCATACAATTTTTGTCTACTTTGGTATCATTCTTTGTATATCCATTTCTTCTTTGCCTGGTGCTGTGAAAGGAGATGACTTGAAGTCATTCACTTCTGTGCAATGTTCTACTTTGATTTTGTTTGCCTGTGTGTATCTGTCTCAGATTCATTTGAGGAAGACTGTTGAACAATTAACTTTTTGGATTTGAACATTGTTCAAGCTCTACTGCATCTACTTCATTCTAGTCGACCGAGTAGTATCATAATCGCTGACATAGACATGGTAACTTATCGTAACCTAGTACATAAGAAACATGTTTATTGAGTTTAGTTGGATTACTTTTTTTCTTCAGAATTTCTTTTTCAGCATTATTTCATTCGACTCTAACATCAGTTTCATCAAATTTTAGATATCCTCCCACATAAATCATACTTTGAACTCTGTGTCACCTGTTAATGGGAATCAAAGTCACAGTCCATTGGGATTATTACGGATATTTTTTGTGTGTTCATTGGTCAATTTTATTAGGTGATATGTCATCGTTTTTGAAATTAGTACTTGTTTCTTATGTTGTCTAATAAGATAATAGACTTTGTCATGTTAGTTCAATGGAGGGAGTCGACAAGAAGCCTGGAATTTAGGTTTTGTGCCTTTAGGCACTCGTCAGCAAGGTGTATTCGCAACTTCTACAGAACTGATATCTTCCTGAGATTCGAACCCACGTCACCCAGTGCTGCAGTCAGGAACATTACCGCCGAGCTATTTGGTTCGCGACTGACCTCCTGTAGGACTGACTGGATTAAGCACACTGATTGGTCACTGGAGGGGTAACCAACTTCATGTTGTCTAGTCCTATGTGCTGAGCGAATTCTATCGATCATTTTGCAGTGTGGCCACCAGGCTAGTTGACTCAACATCGCGATGCACTTGATTGATGTTAGTTGGATGAAGGTAATCAGGAGGAAGCCCTGTATCTAGGGTTTTTGCTTCTTGACACTCGTCAGCAAGGCGTATTTGCGACCATATTCCAAAATGACTGATGGAATTCGATCAGCACTTAGGACTAGACAACATGAAGTTGGTTAACCTCCAGTCAGCGGTCAGTGTGCTTTGTCATGTATTTTGTTCTCATAAACTAATATATGTGGTTATGAAATTACCTGATTATTGTTAACAATTATATCAGTGACGTTTGCTCTTAACTGCGACAGGCTGCGTTTGTAAATACTTTCAAATTTGGAGGTTAAGACCTATGTGGAAAATCTAGCTCAGGAAGTGAAATGAATTTAATTCATCTCCCAGTGTACTTGTATTTTTTTCCGTCGTATAACAATAATGTGATTCCATTTTTATTGATTGATTAGATTTATCACACAATGGAACAGTATTGTTCGCTAGATTACGTTTCGGACATAATTTATTATTCATAATCTTTTCAAAATAACTATGCCAATTTGAAACATGCTTTCCGTAGTCCTAATTTCCTCGCCCACTTTGTGATATGGGTAGTAAGATTTTCCAAATATCCGGAACAGATGGTGAGTCATTCCTGCTGTTGCATGTTGTATTAGGTGTGGAACTGATAAACGAAGATTCAATTATCAATCCCTCTCACCACCCTGTCCCATTCTATTGTGTGGTTGTGCATAATCGCATCAATTACCCTACCAAATTAGTTGATAAATTCCTCACGAACCGTAAGAAAAATACTAGTAACACAGGTATTAGTGGTAGTAATAGTAATGTTAATAATTGTAGTGGCAATACTATGGAGAGAGAATTCAAAAACTACAGTATTGCCATACAATACCCCAGAAACACTACGTAGGATTCTCAATGAGGCTGGCTGGGATTAGAGCGGCATTTAAACCTAAAAACTCACTTAGAAATAAGCTTACGTTAAAGATCCTAGTGATCCTACTAAGCAGAATAACTTAGTTTACCGAAGCCTTTGTAACAGTTGCGAGGTCAAAGCAATCGACCAGGGTCGGTTAATTAGGCTATTCGAGCACAAAAACCTAGCTGGTAAGGGATTTAGAAAAGATACTCAGAGATAGCTATGCATACAAATACACCCAACCACACAATAGAATGGGACAGGGTGGTGAGAGGGATTGATAACTGAATCTTCGTTTATCAGTTCCACACCTAATACAACATGCAACAGCAGGAATGACTCACCATCTGTTCCGGATATTTGGAAAATCTTACTACCCATATCACAAAGTGGGCGAGGAATTAGGACTACGGAAAGCATGTTTCAAATTGGCATAGTTATTTTGAAAAGATTATGAATAATAAATTATGTCCGAAACGTAATCTAGCGAACAATACTGTTCCATTGTGTGATAAATCTAATCAATCAATAAAAATGGAATCACATTCTATCACAGTGCACAAGTTTTACTGTAACAATAATAATAATGTAGGCTTTTCGCCTTTGATTTTTATTTTTAAGGATTGCATTCTAAGTTCCAAGCTGTGGAGGTCGCAACTGTCTGAATTATGAATAAATTAATCTGAATTGAAGTCGTTCAATCGAGTGCAATTGTGTTCAAGCACAAGAATATCCTCAAAGCGACATGGATTTCAACAGATGGACACACTAAAAATCAGGTCGACTTTTTCTCAATCTCAAGAAAATGGAGACTCAGTCTACTTGACACAAGATCAAGAAGAGGAGCAGATGTAGGTTCAGACCACTATCTAGTACATGGAACCTTCCAAATCAAGTTAAAAGCCTTCAAGGAAGCTGGTGATAGGCCGCAGTTCAAGTACAACACTCGGAAACTGAAGGACGAAACTACAAAGGAAATCTTCACGGCAGCCAGCTCAAGACAAAATGGGAGATATCGAGAAACATCCTCAAAGAAACCTGTGTGGAAGAATACTGGAAGTCTTCGAAAGAGATGTGGAAAGAAACCTGCATAACCGTATTAGGAAGGAAGAAGATAAGGAATGGATTTTGATGGACACATGGAAGCTGATAGAGGAGTGAGAGGAGGATGGTGAGGCAGAAGATAAACCAGTGCATTGCAAGGATGCTCAACGACAAGAGGAACTGAGTACAATGTATAAAACACTACACTGGACAAAGAAGTGAAGAAGAGTGCACGCAAAGACAAAAGACACTTCTACGAAACACTGGCAAGTGAAGCAGAACAGGCTGCAGGTAGGAGAGAGAGACCTGACAACACTGTATCAAATAAGCAGGTTACTATCTGGGAGGGAAGAGATCAACACAGATGAAACCAATAAAAGATGAAGAAGGAAATTTAATTACGAAAGAAGAGAAACAAAGGAAATGATGGGCTGACCGACCACTTCAAGAAGCTCCTGAATCGACCACCACCACCACCACCTGCACTTTGTCAAGAAATACCACCTACAGCTGCTGAGCTACAAGTGAACATAAATCCTCTAACAGAAGTGGAAGTCCTGAGCTCCATAAAGCTACTGAGATGCGGGAAAGCAGCAGGAGCAGATGGGATCCCGCCAGAAGCACTGAGAACAGATGCAGAGACAACAGTGGACATACGCCACACCACTATTGCAGAAGGTGTGGAAGGAAGAGAAGGTACCTGACGATTGGAAGAAGGGTTACCTTGTCAAACTGCCGAAGAAGGGAGACCTGAGTGTTTGCAAGAACTGGTGTGGAATCACTCTCCTGTCCACTCAAAGCAAGCAAAATATTAAGCCGCACCATCCTGGAGAGACTAAAGGATGCGTTAGATTCAAAACTACGACCGGAACAGGCCGACTGGCTGGCTGGATTCAGGAAGTACAAATCATGTGCGGACCAAATTGCAACGCAACGCTTCGCATCATCATAGAACACAGTATGGAATGGCAGTCAACTCTCTACATCAACTTCATCGATTCTCAAAAGGCCTTCAACATTGTCGACCGAGAAGTAATTTGGCAACTGCTTCAATACTACAGAATACCACAAACCCTCATCAACCTCATTCAACAACTATATGAAGACGCCACATGCCAAACAATTCACAATGGGAAGCTCAGTGATGCTTTTGAAGTGGAGACAAACAGGAGTAACACAAGGCTGCCGCCTACTATCACCCATGATATTCCTGATTGTGGCCAACTGGACTGGATCATGCAACAAACAGTGAGGTGCTGTGAGAAGAGGGGGATACGTTGTCTGAACCGCGGAAAAGAAGCTAGAAGATCTGGATTTCGCCAACGATGACTTGTATCTGATGTCACATAAACTTGAAGATCTACAGGTGAAAACTAACAAGTTGACAGAAGAGGCGAGGCAGCGAAGACGGGACTTCAAGTGAATATAGAGAAGACAGAGGTGATGAAGGTATCGCACCAACAACTCCAACAACAACAACAAACTCCAATTACCATCAAGGGAAGAAACTTAAAGGAAGTAACCTCCTTCACCTATCTAGGCAGCACTGTTTCAACTACAGGCAGCACAGGCACAGACGAGAATGTCAAAGCCAGACAAGATTGGAAAAGCAAGACAGGCATTCATTAACCTGAAACCAGTGTGGAGATCTTCTGCACTGCACTCAGCATGTGGAACAACATCCAGATTTTCAACATCAACATCAACGTCAAGTCATTGGTTGAGAGACTTGGGCGTTACGAAAGGCATTTCCAATAAACTACAGACATTCATCAACAACTGCCACCTACGCTGGCTCGTTACTGAAGATCAGATGGATTGCCAGAAAGAATAAGCAACAAGGAGCTCTGGGAACGAACCAACCAAGAACCTATCACTCAACAAATATGCAGTGGAAGGAAGTGGAGATGGATTGGGCATACACTGAGAAGGTAGACTGGGGACATCACGCGTCAGGCCGTTAGGTGGAACTCGAATGGGAAGCGACTAGTTGGGCGTCTGAGGCGAGGGTTACATGGAGGAGATCGTGAGAGGAGGAAATGAGAGGTTGTGGGCTGTCGTGGAGCCAGGTTCAAAAGATTTCAGAGAACAGCGTTCACTGGAGACGTGCTACTGAAGCCCTATGTTCCATTAGGAACCCAAGGGACTAATAATAAGTAATAAATAATAATAATAATAATAATCGAGTGCAAGTGTTCATGTATTAAACTATAGGCTACACTCATTCCTTGAGAGTTTATAGCATTGCATGGTTTCCCTTTTCCAGATTTATGGAATTGGTTTGACTGACTGATTGACTGGCAGAATTAACTTATAACCTCACACACAGGTGCATTGGCTCAGGTGCCGCAGTTCATAGTACTTTGCAAAGAAAAGATGGATAGAAGAGGAGTGATATCAAAGTAGACAAAGTTGTATGAGAGAAAAAAAGTTTGAAGATAGAGGTTAGTGCGAATATCCAAGCTTATGAAGATGCCAAGGAGTGAATACGTCTGCGCTATTGTAACCGATTTTCAGCCATATCACCAAGTGTTCTCAACCACTGATTCCTTTGGTCTCACGGACCTCAACCGGGTAGTCCGCATTTCCTCACACGACTCAGGCCAACAGTCAGGGACTTCATGGATTGATGCTACATCTTGGTCTGTCCACCCGGCACCCCTTAATATCCTATTCCAATTTCCCCCAGCATGGCACGGCGAGGTAGGCAGTAGCTAAGCATGTTTACCTTATGTCCGAGTCACCTCAGCCGGTGAAGGTTCACAACCTCACCAGTCAACTTGTCTGCCTTGCGTAGTACCCATCACCTGACCTCAACGTTGCTCACATGGTGATTCCAGCAAACATGAAAAATGCTATGAAGAAATGTGTGACAGTTGGTTTTAAACCCTTTGACTCATAGGTTAGGAGTTAAGCATTTAAACGAATGAGCCAAATCTTTTGTAACAGTTTAGCTGTTTGCTAGTTTGTCTTAAAAGTATCTTGAATGTTGACGAATGCGTACCAGCGTTTACTGTGTATACTTTAATTCATAGAGAATTTTTGATTTATTTGATGGGATCACCTTTGATCCCCATACACTATCTAGTACCTCCATCACTTTAATTAGTAATTTCCTACATCCATCCTTGAAAACTTCAGCTGGCAAACTGTAAGGTCCTGCTTCCTTGTATCGTTTCAGGTTCGACACTCTCTTCTCAACGTCAAGGAGAGTTGGAGGACCGATATCCATGTTCCATTCCGTTTCAGGCTGGATGCTGAGTAACAGGTGTTGTTGTGGGTCAGTTGATTTGGGCTTCAAAGTGTTCCGCCCAATGTTCTACCCTTCTGTCGTGAAGGGTTATCACCGTCCCATCTTTTGCTTGGTGATCCCACTTATCATCGTTTTCTTCTCGTCACTATCTTTAATAAGTCTAAATGGTTGGCGAGTATCACCCAACGCCAATGCTTTATCCATCTCTCTCGCTTTCGCTACCCAACCTTTCTTGTGGTTGACGTGAAGACTGTTGGTCAACTTACGTTAAGGTTGATTTCGCTCTTCGTCGTGGTCAGAGCCAGCTGGTACCAGACTTCTCGCTTCAGTCAGTTCGGATGAAGTTGTGGGAATCCAGTGACGCTTGCTAACATTTGGGTATAGGTTAACAATTATCTTTACCCCTGTTTCTACAAGGGACTTAATGTCACACCAGGTTTCCTAAAGATGAGCGTTGCTGTCATATTCAAATAAGTGCTTGGCCACCTCTTCTCTAAATGCAGGCTTGACGATTTCATCTTCCGATGGGCCACTGACAGACTTTATCGTCGCTTCTTTCCTACAACCAGTAAGGTGCAGATGTACACGAGGCCGTACTAGCGCGTGATCAGAGTGCAAACTGGTACTCCAGAACCATCGGCAATTGTCCACCGACCCTCTCCAACTACGACTTATGGCGATGTGATCTGTTCGTGTCCGTTGCTGATCTGATGTCGATGGACGCCTCGTGAGACGGTGTCTCTCCTTATGCCTAAAGTTAGTGCTGTCCAGAAACAAGTAATTGTCGGAAGGAAATTGCAATAGACGATCACCGTCATCGGCTTGTTGGCATGGGATTCCGTAGATACCTCCAAGATGCCTTTCCGATTGTTTCAGGTCCTCTACTTGAGTATTGTTTAGAAGACATACCGGAAGCTCAACTGAAGACAAGTTCGTCACGTATTTATCCGGGTATACTGGGAATGACTGCATGTGAAGATCATTAATACATGATTTCGATAATTTCTCCTTAGTTTCCACCTTGACTTCAATAGATAACTCAACTAAAGAATTGATAAATTTGATATGACAAACTAGAGAAATATCAGACAGACATCAGAAGTTCAATTAATAGGCATAAATTCTCACTGCAATCATTAATATGAGAGTTTGTAAGACGAACGCATTTTGACACATTGGGAATGTTGTTTAGAACATCATAAAGATCTATAAAATGGTCTTGAATATGTGTGATTACATCTATATGATTTACAAAATCCCAGTTTCACTTTCTCAACTGCTGTACCATTCGTCTAAATGTTAAAACTCAAGTACGAAGTACCATTTAATTTGAAGCTATTACTTATCTAGTGAGAAGGTGGATTTGCCAGACACTGAAACCATGCTATTTCATTCGTTTAAGTTGACAAACGTTTATAAATCAAGAGATAAACAGCTACTACACGCGTACTCATAAATTTGTATTCACTAAACCTAGGGTAGCGGAGAATATCCTCCCTTGATATTCATAATCACACTATCCTTTTTTTGGTAATCGGTTGTTATTAGACTGAATTCTTTATCCTGCTTATAGGTAATACTTGTTTTCTTTAATACATTTATTTAGATAAAACAAAAGTGGAAGTACGATTTCATGTTCCATCAGCGTCATGGATACCAGAGAAAGTTAAACAACTTTTTATGGAAAGGGTATTAATGTTTATAATTTTACCACTAAAAATATTATTTTCAACTCATCTCGCTTAGGAGGCTAATCGTATCAACAAAGACAATTACTTTATTATTACATCAGATCATACTCGAAAACAAATATTAAATCAAGCTGACTGTTTAGAACGGATTCGTCGTATTGTCAGAGAATGTGTGAATGTGTTAAATAAACCTGAACCAAGTCCTGAAACATTAGAGAAAATTCAACGTCAGTAAGTACTTTTTGTTTGTGCATAAGAACTGATTTTTATCTACTTTTCAGACAAAGTATACTATATTTGTTCCGGGGGAAAAATTACACCTTGAGGTACAATACTTGTTTTTCATCTGCTATGTCAAGGATATAAAATGCTTCCCACTTATTGAGTTTCACCCATTTGAGTAGCATCAATAACACGTACACTAGGTGTTACTCATAATGTACTCAATGAACTTGTGTGTGATCACAAAGCATGAATTTTTGACTTAATTACTAGACCTTTTTATCAGTATTATTGCATTAAAGGTGATTTTTACTCAAGATGACCATCAGACTGACATCGAAAATGACCGACAGATAGACAGATGAAATCAACGTCGAACGTTAGACAGGAGTTCATTGCTTCCAAAAGAACACGTTTCAAAGCATCAGGCAAATAACAAGTGGGTAAAGAAAGAGTGATATGAAGGTGGGCAGAAGGTGTATAGCACCAACGAATTCGTAGAGCAAGGTTACTAAGAATTTTCAAACCTCCAAGCATGTCAGACAATGAACACATGTGTGCGATTTTGACCGATTTGCAGTCGTAGCATAAAGCATCCCCAACCATTAATTCCTATCATCCTGAGAATATCAACCACCCAGTTCATATCTACGTACACGGCTCAGACTAACAGTCACAGGTTTCATGGACTGTATTCTCCTCTCGTCTACCAACTTCTACGGACATGTTTCACAATCGTATGGTCGGGCACAGAGACGGAACTTCAGTTCAGTATACTCATCTCTTAATCGGTAGTCCGATATCTCGTCAACATCAGAAGTGATATCGGTTGGCAAATGTAGATCGGAGATTTTGTATCCTAGCTGGGATTCAGCCAATCATCATCCTATTCGGGCTGATACAACTTTTCCCAAGAAAGCCATTCCACCACTCAACTCCATATTCTCAGGGTAGGGGTAGCTGGAGATGATTCTCGAAGTATCGTTTTACATCAGACAGGTGTGGAATCTATGCCAGACAAAATACTCAGATTTCTGGTCGAAGCGTTCTGAATACGCTGCACTTTATCAGTGTCTTCACCTGACTGGACAGTATCGTCTGTGTACTTCAAGTCAACTAGGTGGCCTCAAACGGTTAGGTCAATCCCTGTGAAGTTGTGTTACCTAAGGCTATGTTTATTGGCTCATTTATAACGTAGTTAAATACGAGTGGTGACAAGACACCAGTAGTTGTCGTCAACTCAGATGAGGAATTCCTATAAGGTCTAACATGGCTGTATGAGTTCGAGTGGAGACATTTGATTGTTCTGACTTGCTTTCTCGGTACTCCCTTCACATTCAGACACTGCCACGACATCTCTCAGTCGATAAAGTGGAATGGCACCTTCTTGTCAAGAAATATAGCAAGTGTTAGCAGGTGATAAGCATGGCTGTATCCTGTAACCTATCGAAAGGCAAAGATTTGACCGAAGCAGTCTTGTTCAGTTCTGAAAGCTGCCTGGTCTTCAGTTGGTCTCCAGTTGGCCGTTGTCGAGCTTCAGTTGAAGATTGGATAATCATGGACCCTAGGATATTGAGCAGGACGTTAGATATATCAATTCCCCAATGGTTTTCTCAAGAATACTTCTCTCCTGTTTTAAAAGCTGCATTGATCAGTGATGTAGGCCAGTCTTATCCAACGAACACTGATTTGCACATGGACAGACGGAGAAACAAAATCAACATAGGACATGGTGTTACTGCGGAACAGTCAAAGTATCCATACCTCATATTAGCACGCCAAGTGACAAAGCACTGAGATGAAAGATAAAGAAGAAAGAAGTCAAAAGTAGTACGGAAGCATCAAAGGAGGATAAGGAAATATGAGGGAATACTGGTATTCTGTTTGTCGATTAAGATAGACTATGGATACAACTGCGCCATCAAGACCAATTCTGAAACATCACATAGGTCTCCAACTACCGATTTTTGTTGTGACGCGGACCGCAGTAGTTAGTTAATGTAGGGCAGGTTTCTTACAAGAGGTAAAGATAATGAATGAATCAAACTTCATCTTCGAACAAAGTTGTGCTGAATTGACTTTTTCTGGTCGTTTTTTCATAGGTAGGTCATTGGTGTTGTTAAGAAACGATCATTAAACAAATCGATTCTTAACACCTTGTTCATATCTGAATTTTCGGTGAATGTATAAACTGGACCTTCTTCATGTTATGCGGCTATGAGACATGGGCGTTAAAAGTAGATGTGAAGCGATTATAAGTTTTTGATCACATGCATCTTCGTAACATTGCTGGCGTATAGTGGAGTCACTATGTGAGGAAAGTTGAGTTCAGGTGAAGGGTACTAGGAAATGTATGCAAGTCAGTCGTTGAGGCTGTGTATCTCCACTGACTGACGTAGCTTGGATATGTGTTACGTATACTTAGCCACCACTTACCTCAATGTGCCATGCTAAGGGAAGTTTGATTAGGTTAGAAGAAGGTTCAAAGTGGCCAGACTGAGATATGACATCAATCCATAAAGACTCTGACTCATGGTAGGAAGGTGTAGACTGATATGTTGGGGTCAACCAGGTGGTGGGAATCTATGGTTGACGGCTCTTACAGGGTTGAAGATCGGTTACAATTGCTTAAATATATTCACTTCTTTACGTCTTGAACGTTCTGACTAACCTTAATTTTTAAATTCCTTCTCTTTTTGTACATCTTTGTCTACTTTGATATCAGTCTTTGTCTTTCGACGTTTTTTATGAGTACTACTGTGAAGTGCGGCAACGTGAAGCGATGCACTTGTATGCGAGGTTGTACGTTCATTTTGTCTCTGTTTGGACCTTCCTCAATCCCACGTAGGGGAATATATTGTTAAATTCTGAATATCCTGTATATAATATTATGAAATTTTACTCATTAAATTTCTATATATCATGGTTATCCACAAGTGTGGTCACATTGGCATTTGAAGTCTTGATGTTTCACAAGTGTGAGTTTTGGCAAATATTTCGCAGAAATTCGATCGAGAGTTATCAAAAGTACAATTATTCCCAGTTAAACCATCAAAACGCTTTCAAGTCTGTCAAGGACTTTTGATGTCTTCTCATAACTCGTGTCCTCAGCAGTCCGTCTGCCAAGTCCTTCATCTCAGAGTTATAACTACACATAAGTTTCACCCAATAGACGAGCCCGAGAGTTGTGAAAAGTCAAAAGACTGTTTGATTTTATCGTAACAGTAATTAGTGGTTCTGTGCTGATATTGTTGTCTCGAATGACGGAGAAAGCTCCATGATTTAACCATCCAGTACAGAGAAGACAACACAATCAAAAAAATGTTTTGAGTTTACTCAGTGTTCTGTTACAGAGGCGAAAATGCACTCCCTTTCTTGTCTTGTTAGACAGGCTAAGTAGTGTTCGTGATCCCACTTCACAAACTTACGCATTGTACGACTGATGTACTTGGCTCCACAAAAGCAAGTAAACTGATACATAGATAGTGATGTGGTTCAATGCTCCAGTTTATCCTTCACGTACTGATGAATGAGTTTTTGACAAGAGAATATGACTGTAATGTTTGCAACGGAGAGTCTTATGTTTACGGATCTTAACAGTCTCTTTCTAAGGATATCTGCCGCATCATTCCCCTTAGATTTACATTACCACAATAGAATAACTGCTCATTGCTATACTATTTTAAGTAGTCATTTAGCTGATGTCACTCTCTCATGAAGGTTACCTCAAGTACTGATGAGTCGGGACTGTGCTACGAACAACGTTTGTTTTCGGTATGCAAAAGTCAGGCTTCAGTTTACCGAAAATATTTAGGTTTTTGCGCTTGAGAAGTCGTTGATAGATTGAATACAGTCAAGGTTATTTCACCGTTGTATTAGATAGCATTCTTCTTAATACTTATTGGACGTTATATTTACAGTCTTTTTCTACTTGTCGAATGGATATACATAGTGATAGTCAGTTGTTCTCCTTCATTGTCTATTATCCCCAGTTTTTATATGTTGACATGTTTCTGTACTTTTTTCTTATCGTTTTCACAGAAAAGTGAAAGCCAATGAGAACAGACTACGTGAGAAAAAGTCTAAATCATATACCAAGCAGTTACGACAAGAAAATGGTACAACCGACTTATTCTAATCACTTGTTGTGATGTTTTCTATGCTAGGATGAATGGTAGAAACAAATTGCAGTATATATTATATACTATTGAAATAATCCGGTCTTTCTTTTGTTATGTTCGTTTGCTTGTTTGTAAGTACATTGTAGAGAGTTTGTCTGTGTGTGTGTGTGTGTGTGTGTGTGTGTGTGTGTGTGTGTGTGTCAATGAGATTTTCATTTCTGCTTTTATTGTATTCAGGAGATCAGCTATGGCATTTTAATTCCCAGTGTTTTCAAATACTCATCATATCGTTCTTTGAATATCACTCACTTCTGAAGGAAGAATTGTGTTTGCGTAGCATTTATACTTATGTGAACTGTTGTCTGATATGTCCAACTATGATATGCAGTCCACCATCAATCAACTGGCTTGATAATCGATTTTTATCCTAGTGTCATCGGTGTGAAATATTAGAAGAGTGTAGAACTTCAGAGAAGTTAGATGTACACCTCTGGGAAGTTTGAGACTTCAGTCAGTCAGGTCCTTCTTTCTATCGCTTATCAAAATCATGGAAAATATACTACTTATTGAGAATGTTGGATGTTTTGATTGACAGAATTTAGTCGTAAATTGTGGTTAGTTATTGGCGGCTTTTTCATTTACATCGTTGTTTGCCGTCGGGAAACCGGTCATATTGTGAGCATCGACTGTAGTATTTCTGGTCATGTCTAATTGGAGCTTGAGGAAACCAGGCGGGATTTTAGATCTGGACATGAGTACATTTGTCAGATCATTGCACAAATTTGGAATTCAATATCTGAAATATGTCTCCTTTGAGGCTTTTAAACACCCTGTGATGACACTAAAATACCCTTAATTATATTGCTACAGCTTCAAAGCAGTGTGTAGACGTCTTGAAGTTATGACAGACTGAGTAGTGTAACAGAGGTACTAAGTAGTGTGTCCAAATCAGCCCGACCTATAGCTTATACTTTGACTTGTTGGTCACGCTTGGGTATCGTGATGACTCATTGAGTTGTGCTGGTAAAATACTTGTTCCCTTGAGGGTCATACTATACCACTAAGGTCTTTTGGACAGTGGTGAGACGAAAAACAGTTATCATCATAGTAGTGTAAATTGCTATACTATGATGGGGGTTCTGGGGTGAAATAGTACTGCTAGCTGAATGGGGTGTGATAACAGTAAGGTTTTTTCCCTCGAGTAACCAGCGGTGCGACGTTAATGATGGACGGTGTTAGAAAAGGTTGGTCCTAAAAATAGCACACTCACCGCTTCTCCGTGACATACCGATGCTCGTGATATGTGTTCATAGTCGAATTTGAAAAGAATTATTATTATTACTATTTTTTATTCTTCCGTTGGGTTCCTGGTGGAACATAGGGCTTCAGTAGCCCATCTCCACTGCACTCTGTTCTCTGCAAACTTTTGAACCTGTCGCCCCGACAGCCCACAAGCTCTCATTTCCTCCTCGCACGATCTCCTCCATGTAACCCTCGCCACGGACGCCCAACTGGTCACTTCTCATCGGGGTTCCACTCGACGACTTGGCCTGGCGCGTAATGTCCCCAGTTGGTCTTCTCAGTGTATGCCCAATCCAATCCAATCCATCTCGACTTCCTTCTACATGTTTTTTGAGTGGTGGGTTATTGGTTGGTTCGTTGCCAGCCAACCAGCCAGAGTTCCTTGTTGCTTATTCTTTCTGGCTATGTGAGCTTCAGTAATGAGCCAGTGTAGGCAATTGTTGATGAATGTCTGTAGTTTATTGGAAATGCCTTTCGTAACGCGCCAAGTCTCTGAACCATACAGAAGCACTGACTTGACTGATGTTGATGTTGAAAATCTGGATGTTGTTCCACATGCTGAGTGCAGTGCAGAAGATTTCCACACTGGTTTCAGGCTAATGAATGCCTGTCTTGCTTTTCCAATCTTGTCTGGCTTTGACGTCCTCGTCTGTGCCTGTGCTGCCTGTAGTTGAAACGATGCTGCCTAGATAGGTGGAAGAGGGTACTTCCTTTAAGTTTCTCATATTGATGGTGATTGGAGCCTGTTGTTGTTGTTGTTTGTGGTGGTGGTTGGGTATCTTCATCACCTGTGTCATCTCTACGTTCACTTGAAGTCCCATCTTCGCTGCCCTGCCTCTTTTGTCATCTTGTTAGTTTTCGCCTGTCGACAGAAGAGGCAGCGAAGACTTCTAAAAGGCCCGTACGTGATCAGCCTCAAACAGATGTCGCTTGAGCGGTGCGGTCACTCACTGACTCTTCTTTCTCAGTTACCTTAAGAAGAAATAGCCTTCCACGGTGTGGGCAGCCGGGAAGTGTCAACCATCCTCTCGACTTTCAGCGCTCAAGTCTCATTTGATCACTATTCACCTTTCATATCCTTACCATATAATCTTCCTTCGCGTCTATCGATCAACATTCTTACACCATTCTTAGTTTTTTCCATCTTTACATTTATTAACTACCATCTGGGTTGAAGAAACAATATCCTTGGTCTCCTGAAACGGCGCTCCAAACTTTACATTGGAGTTCTCAATGTATTCACTGTCCGTCTTACAGGTGTAGGCATAGCGTTAAATGCTAAGGCAGAAAATGCACTGGTCGACTGGATTTAGTTGGTAGTTGACAGACTTCGCTTGACACCTTGAGTGAAAGGTTGAGAATGTTTGGGATGCATTTCCCACCGCCTAGATGCGCAGGTCTGGTTTTAAATAGTGCTCTGTTCAAGAATGGAGAGTGGAATCTTTGAGTGCGTTGGCCATGTCTTTTACTTGGGAAGTTAGATCACCCGTGGCAGGTCAGTGACCGATGCATTCTCTCCACGAATAAAAAGGAATCAATCGGCTCTCGCCAAATCACCCCGTTCGTGGTTTCACTGCGCTGCAGTTCACTCTCTTCTACTGTATGGCCGTAAAACATGGCCACTAAAGGTAGAGGACTTAAGAAGTCTTCAGGTTTTCAATCACTGTTGTCTTCGCAGCATAGGCTGACTGTGTCGTGGTGCCACCACGTCAGCAACTTTAGAAATATGGTATAGCGTTTTAAAAGGGAAAAACGAAATCAGTTAATGGTGTTGCGCATCTTCGTCGACTGAGATGGCTTGGACATTTATTACACATGCTTTGTCACCGTCTGCCACATCGCACAATGATAGCTGAAGTATTTTCAGACTGGAAAATGGCTCAGAGCGCCAGACTAAAACTTGACATTAGTGTGTGTAGTCTTCTAATTTTAGTCTGAGCCGTGTACGGAAGTGTAGACTTCCCGGTTGGGGTCCGCGTCACAACCAAAATCGGTAGTTGGAGACTCTATGTGATGTTCAGAATTGGTCTTGATGGCGCAGTTGTATCCATAGTCTATCTTAATCGACAAACAGAATACCAGTATTCCCTCATATTTCCTTATCCTCCTTTGATGCTTCCGTACTACTTTTGACTTCTTTCTTCTTTATCTTTCATCTCAGTGCTTTGTCACTTGGCGTGCTAATATGAGGTATGGATACTTTGACTGTTCCGCAGTAACACCATGTCCTATGTTGATTTTGTTTCTCCGTCTGTCCATGTGCAAATCAGTGTTCGTTGGATAAGACTGGCCTACATCACTGATCAATGCAGCTTTTAAAACAGGAGAGAAGTATTCTTGAGAAAACCATTGGGGAATTGATATATCTAACGTCCTGCTCAATATCCTAGGGTCCATGATTATCCAATCTTCAACTGAAGCTCGACAACGGCCAACTGGAGACCAACTGAAGACCAGGCAGCTTTCAGAACTGAACAAGACTGCTTCGGTCAAATCTTTGCCTTTCGATAGGTTACAGGATACAGCCATGCTTATCACCTGCTAACACTTGCTATATTTCTTGACAAGAAGGTGCCATTCCACTTTATCGACTGAGAGATGTCGTGGCAGTGTCTGAATGTGAAGGGAGTACCGAGAAAGCAAGTCAGAACAATCAAATGTCTCCACTCGAACTCATACAGCCATGTTAGACCTTATAGGAATTCCTCATCTGAGTTGACGACAACTACTGGTGTCTTGTCACCACTCGTATTTAACTACGTTATAAATGAGCCAATAAACATAGCCTTAGGTAACACAACTTCACAGGGATTGACCTAACCGTTTGAGGCCACCTAGTTGACTTGAAGTACACAGACGATACTGTCCAGTCAGGTGAAGACACTGATAAAGTGCAGCGTATTCAGAACGCTTCGACCAGAAATCTGAGTATGTTTGTCTGGCATAGATTCCACACCTGTCTGATGTAAAACGATACTTCGAGAATCATCTCCAGCTACCCCTACCCTGAGAATATGGAGTTGAGTGGTGGAATGGCTTTCTTGGGAAAAGTTGTATCAGCCCGAATAGGATGATGATTGGCTGAATCCCAGCTAGGATACGAAATCTCCGATCTACATTTGCCAACCGATATCATTTCTGATGTTGACGAGATATCGGACTACCGATTAAGAGATGAGTATACTGAACTGAAGTTCCGTCTCTGTGCCCGACCATACGACTGTGAAAGATGTCCGTTCAAGGTAGTAGATGTGAGGAGATTACAGGCTTTTGACTACGGTTGTGATGTCAGGATTTCCTACCTTTGGATGCCTTGAGGTTACATGAAGACTACTAGGTAAGGAACGCGACTCAGGCGATGAGATTATGAATTTGCAGTAACGACTTAGATAGCTTGGACATTTGTTGCGCGTGGCTAGCCACAGCCTTCATCTATTTTCTGTGTTAGTTGTAGGAGGACTGAGGTGTGAAGATGCTGAGAGTTGGTAGACGACAATGTGATATCTGTCGATGAAACCTTTGACTGTCGGTCTAAGCTGTGTTGGGAGATGTTGACTATCTGGTCAGTGTTCTCAGGATGATAGAAATCAATGATTTGATTTGAATTCTGTCAACATGGTACGAATGTGTTCACTGTTTTTCACCTTGAAATCTTGAACTGTGTGATTACCTGTGCGTATTAATTTTCTTTTTACTCGTTTCGTACCGCCATCACATGTTTTCTGTAAACTTCTTTGTATGCTGTCGTGAAGTGTTGTAGGCTGTTATGTCGTACCTTTGTGCGAGGTTCTACATTGATTGTTTTGTTTGATTGTCTGTTTCAGGTGTTGCATGACACATGTGTGTGGCCCTCAGAAATCACCTACTCACTTTTTTGACTGTATCATTGCTTATGATACGGAAGTACTTGTCTAGATTTTATCATATTCTTCATATAGTTTCTGCTGAGAATTTCTTATTGGATCACTGACAGTTGTTGCATTATCAACGAAGTACCTAGCATTGCTAATCACCAGTTCAAGTTTGTAGATTACATCAGTACCTCTAGGTGAGATTTAAGATTGGATAGACAGTGAAACGAAAACAAATTAAAGAGTGAGGAGAGAATAATTATATACGATATCACAGCCTGTTTCACTTTGCAGCTATTGAAGGGTAGATGGCAAACGAAGCACAAAAGGGCCAATCAAATATTACCTTTGTCTACTATGATGACTAGCTAGGTGTGGGGTTTTTAAGTAACGAAAGTATGTTAATCTATATCATTACAATCACATATCACCCACCGTATACTTTGTAGTCTAGTCTAGTGGTGTTTTGTGTGGGTAAAAGCTTGAAATTGTTTATATCATGACTTAACATCACTTTGAGCTCTTCAGAATGGTGTAGACTTCGTGGTGAGAGGTACATAGGATGTCGGAAATATGATGTTCATCCAATTCAAGTATCGTTTCCATGAAACAACATAGATACGTTGAGTACTCTGCAATGTGAACTAAATATCTATACGAAAAGTAAACACTGATACTCGTATTTGTACGGCATCTATTTTTTAGAATTTTGTGTAGTTCAATTTCCTGAGTTAACCTAAACACTTACAACATTTTTACTTCATGGATGATTGAAGCTGTTGATTGATAGCTATCTAATGAGGCTAGAGTATATCATTTCTATTAAAAGTGATGAGGATGTCAGAGCCAGGATTGGAAAAGCAAGACAGGCCTTTATCAATCTTAAATCAGTGTGGATATCTACTGCACTCCACTCAACTCCACTTAACATAAAGAACAAAATCTGGATTTTCAACACTAATGTCAAATCAGTGCTCCTGTGTGATGGTTCAGAAGCTTGGCGCCTCACGTAAAGCGTTTCCAACTAACTACAGACATACATCATCAACAGCTGCCGCCTACGCTCACTCGATACTGACACTGAAGATCAGATGGCCAGAATAATAAGAATAAGCAACAAGGAACTGTGGTCTGTTAATGAACAAGCAAAGAACCCACCGCCCAACAAATCAGCAGAAAAAAGTGGAGATGGATTGGATTGGGCATACACTGAGAAGACTGATTGGGGACATCTCGCGTCAGGCCAGATCGTCGAGTGGAATGCAAAGAGGAAACGACGATTTGGGTGTCAGAGGCGGGGTTGACATGGAGGCGATCATATTAGAATGAAATGAATGCTTGTGGGCAGTCGTGGAGCCAGGTTAAAAGTGCTGCAGCGAAGAGAGTGAAATGGCGACTTACTACTGAAGCCGTATATTCCAGTAGGAACCCAAGGGACAAATAACAACGAAGAAAATTAAAAATGATGAAGAATTAAAGTAGTTCAAGCTGGAAAGAGTAATCAGACAGTATATCGAGAGGTGGTGTAGAAAACGGGTTTTAGAGAATGTTAATTATTTTTAACAACTTTAAATGCATATACAACTTCTTTGTTGTGATGGACTTTAAATTGTATTGCATAACATTCTCCTCTCATGAAACCGGTTTTTTAGTCAGCAAAACTTAGTATGGAAGCATGTGACTTCATAGATTTTCGTCATATTTTTTGTACTGTTGTCCAACTGTCGATATATCTTGATGGTTTGTTTCAAAAACCGACTGGATTCATGTTAATCGATTCATAATATTACTTTTACTTCTTGGTCAGGATTTTCTAAATTGACTTGAGGATGATTAATTCGTAGTTGCATTATACACACTAGCCATACTTTGAAACTGCTGCTTATTAGGTAATTGCAATCACTTCTATATTCGATATATATCACACAGTGATACAGCATTATTTATTTGATGACGTTTCGAGTAAAATATACCTACTATGATTGGTGATATTGGTGATCCCATTAGATACTTGGGGAAACATGACTTTATGAACGTTTAATCCTACACCTATGATATGGTGGCGATGTGTGAATGGGATATTTACTGTGTTGAAATCGGAACATATTGACAGTTTCTTCATACGTATAAACTCAATAGTAGGAGGGATGGGTAAGTAGAGTTGGTTGCGTTGGATTGCAGATTAGAATAAAGAACACATGATGGTTTAGATACTACCGTCTACAGGAAACCGACGCATTCTAATAGGCGTCTAGACTTCAAGTCTTCTCATCTAATATCCGTTAAGGTGGGTTTAGTCAAGTGTCTAAATAATAGAGCTAGGAAACTCACCAGTCAGTGTGAGGATTTAAATAAAGAATTGAAACACAAAAGAAACGTTACTAATTAATAATTATCCTCTCTGGTTTATTATTATGACATTTTTACGGACATGTGAGAAACGAAATAATAACAGTAATAGGAATATGTATAGTTGCGACAACACGAGTGGAAACGGGTTCAAAACCTGCATTGTGTTGTCATACAAGGAAAGAAGGTCAGAAACTTTGCGTAGGGTTGTTAATAGGGCTGGAATTAGGGTGGCATGCAAACCTACAAACTCGGTCAGAGATAAGCTTTGTCGGTTAAATGACCCAATAGACCCAATTAAGCAAAATAATCTTATTTACCAAATTCTATCCAATGACTATGAGGTCAAGTACATAGGTGAAACTAGCCGATTGGGGTCAGTTGGATCATTGGAAGATGGGAATTTACTCCAATGTAGAATGACAGACCTGGATAAGATCAGTAATCTAGGAAGGAACTCGACTGTTGTAGTGTATGCTTTAACACACAACCACACACTAGAGTGAGTGGGATAAAACCACTGTACCTAATTCCAATATGATTGGGTGGAGAGAGAGATTGATTGCTGAAGCTTTGTCCATCCAATCAATACCCAATACATGTAGTAGAAATGACGCAGCACTTATATCAATCGGAACAAAATATCAGGCGACAGGACTATAAAAATCAGATGTCGAAAGTAGTGTGACTACACTGATAATGATTATGAGCAATAGTAATTTATGCTGGAAACGTCGTCAAGTAAGTAATACTGTGTCACTGTGTGGAATTACATTCTACCACAGTGTCTAGGTTTTATACACATTTTATTTACAATCGAATTGATACTCGACTTTGTTACATGCAGTGGTATGATAAAACTGAGTGTGGTGATGTGATTGATATGCCTAACCAGTAGACTTAAAAAGATCCTTTCGACTATCTAGTGATTACTTATCGGATAGATGAGTCATCTCTGTATATCCAATGAAGTTTTCAACTGGTGTATTTGGAGGTATCAGTATAGTATCAGATTGGCTATTCCTGTATAGAGCACAAAGATTAACTTCATAGTCTTGTAAGATATTGTGGTTATTTACTCATCATTGACTCGCATGAATCCAGGATTACAATTAAGATTTGCGTTCCCCCTATACGAGTCTGAACATAAAAGTTTAAGTTGTGACTTACCGAGGAGAAATCATCTCCTGATACCTACCCTATTTCGAAAACGGTACATTGTGTGCATTCTACGATGAATCGCAGCTACCACCTGAGGTGGCTTATGATTCCGAATTCCAATGTTTTTCTGTATCGGTATCACAGTTAAGGGTCATCTGTATACACTGGTAGGTGCCAAATTCACACATGAAATTAGATATAGGCATACACTTTTCCAAGTTACAGCGCTTCACATGAAGAATGATAGAAAAATCATTAGTTCAGTTCGCACAACTACCGTATGCAAATTCATACAGTGGACAAAGCCACACCTAATGGGTGTGGGCTAATTATACTACCTGGCTGCGAAAACGTCGGTAGGTGGAGCAATGCTTGGAATCGCCACCCACTGGTTGAAAGTTAGCTTGTTAGACTAATGAGCCGCGACTCCATGAAATCATCAATTAGAAGGAGAAAGTGATAGGATAAAAGTAACAATGCCAAGAGATGAAGGAGATAGATACTGGGAGGTAAAAGAGGATAACTGATGAAAAACTATTTTGATGAATTGTAAATTAATGCAGCTATGCCACTACTAATTCTCCTGTGGTCGATTTCAGTTGTCTAATGGATTTCAACTAATAACGCCTAGAGTTTCTCAATTAACCTGGTTCAGCAATGAGGAGAGTTCATCGTAGTATAGTATTTTCACTTGGAGGCTGCATCCATCCCTCACCTAATAAGGTTGTTATAACACCTTAGATATTTAAGCATGCGAAACTATTATCTCATTTATTCTACGGCATTCAGTTTTACAATCATATCAACTCTGAAAATTATTACTATGAATCCAATTTGTAATCATGAATTCATCAATACTGATAAGGTAACAAGAAGTCAAAATTTCTGTGATTAGTTTTGTGTATATCATTTTCAATAAATGTACCATTATATTGTAGACTTCAATAAATATGATTATCATGATTATTCACTGTATCTATATTTTTTTTTAGATATCTGTTCATGTCTCAATCAAATCCTAATTCCACAGATGTCGACATCAATAGTGAAAATAGCAACACTGATTCGCATGGTAATGAATCAGTGTCTTCCACTGAAAATCATGAAGATTTAATTCATGCTAGATTAAAAAGTCTTGCTCCAGAATGCGATTCAGTTAAGTCTGCTTATGATCTATGCTTTCAAGAGTTTTTCCCAACTTTTCTTCAAGGTCATTCCATTGAAAAGGATCCTTGTGAAACGAAATTAAAAGTTTATCAGAATTGTCTACGTGAAGCTTTAAAAACATCATTTGACATGGATTTATCTGAATTGGATTCAATTCAAACTGATGCAGAGACAATTAGAAATATTGTAAATAACACAACGTGAATTTCTGGTTATTTTAAATTTACATTGAACAACATATTGAAAAAAAAAGAATTGGTAATACAGTCAACCTTTTTGTTTTTTACTAGGTTTTATGGACAAGCGTTCTGTGTTTTGCAAGTCGTTAACCATATTCAGATTCACTTTCAATGCTGCTTATTTTGAGGCGGATTCTGAACCATATCACCTTCAATTTTAAAACACCAATTTTGGTTGTCATTCGAACTTCAACCGCAAAGTCTATATTACCCTTCACAACTCAGACCAACATTAAGATATTTCATCGGCTGATAGATTAATTTCTTCAGCTGAAGCTTTCATCCAGCCTGGTGGTGAATCGTTCACGACAAAATATTAAAACCCAACGAACAGCAAACCACCATCATCTTCGTGCCGAGCTACAAATCTTCTCCATCATTTCAGACGCATGGATTGATGCTGCGTTTAATCTTTTTCTAGGCAAACTTACTTCATTTGATATTGTCCGATTGGGTAAATGGTTACTAGACATGTGTAACACTTTCCGACCACCTGAGTTGATAAAGGTTAGTAAACTGATCAACTGACTTACTTCTGTTAACTAAAACTCTACCTCTGACTGCTGCGTTAATGATGTAGTGGTTTAATGAAATGGATTACACTATGAAGTGTTATCCTTGTGAATCTGATACTTTTAAATATGCATCCGAAGTTTTTATCTCATTTACAGGTAGCAGCACTCTGCACTGTTGGCATCTCTGAAATAACTTATAATGACTGATATTCAGTATGCGGATGGTATTATTTCAGTCCTACTTACTTAGTTGGCGATCTGTATTGAAGTATCAATTACTTTTTTGAAGCTAACCAGAGTTTATACTTGCACTCATTTTCAGTGGTGAGTTTTTCGAGCAATCAAAGAGTTCTTTTGAGGCTACCAGATGATGATATCAGCGTTCAAATACTTGTAGTTGATGCCATTTGTTCCAATTTAGGTCATTTGTATTATTTCAAATGCAAATAACTTCAGTATATTTACATCTATTTTACTTCAATAAGACTGGATTGCTGGTTGTTCGAATATATTGATATTTTCTACAGCGTTTGTTTGAAACAGTGTGTAAGTAGTAGTGTCTATAATCTAAATCATGACCAGATATATAAAAGAATCTTACAACTGTCAGCATTATTTGCTGAAGATGGAGTGATACAGAGAAGTGGGAGAGAGGTTTTTCTTAATGCTGTAGTAGGAGATATATGTTCTTGATTGTATTGTGTTCTCTGAGCTGAGTTGTTTAATCATGAAGCCTTTCATCGTCTTTCTAGACGACATCATCAGCACTAACTAATGTCGTGTAGAAAGATGATGATAGCTTCATGATTCAACAACTCAGCTGAGAGAACATAATACAATCAGGACCACCGCTACAAATATTCTCCACTATTTCAAGATATATGTTCGTTTGTCTGTATTAATATTGCGGTTAATTGAGTATTAGGTTTGTAGTTGTTGTTTGCATTTAAAATCGCTTAGTTAACTAGCTTTTTTGTGAAAATTATTCAAGGATAAGTTAAGGTGACGAGGATTTCCAAGTCATTGTATGAAAATCTTGGTAATCATTTTGGTGTTCAGTCCTAATTTTTTGGAATAAAGTTTTTTACTGTTAGTTTAAGCTTCATCTCCAGTACAGTTGGATGAAGACACGATTGTAGTAAAAGTTTGTAAGGTCAATGAAATGAAGATAATATTGTTTAGGTGATGCGTAGAATATTCAACGTAATATCGACTTGGCAGGTATTGTGGGCAGCTAGGAGGTATTCTTTGATGAAAGACCGACTAATTTTGATAGTTTTGTTCAAATTGTAACCGTGATAAAAATAATAGTGATTTGAATTGTCATCAACGCCAACTGTATGACATATTCAACGATTCACTGGATCACATCAATAGTATCGGCTATACATATTGAAAACTAGGAGTTGACTAGAAACAATGAGATCTAGATGTATCAAACTGTCATTTGGATGTTGAGAGGGATTAGAGCGATTTAGATGAAGTGAGAGAAAAATGCATCTAGGTCACTGCGATGAGTCCTAGTGAAATCATGCTATTTCCAATCACGCTATTCATTGATCTGTGGATTGCAGCTGAGGAGTTAAAATTCTATGGAATGGCTCAGAGACTACATGGTTCTGGGAAGGGCGTTCTTAAAAAGTGAAAACACTTATTTCTCAATACAAGTTTAAAACACGGGAAGAAGTTGGAAAAAGCAAGATATAATGAATTTGTAGGTTTCAGTGCGACTCGAGCCAAGTTGCGGCCCTAACTTTCATCTCACACCTCAAGTATCAGATGCTAATGCTGTAAATTTGTCAGATGAACAGAAATTCAAGTGGTTTCTGAATAAAGGAATGCAGGAAAATCTGATAATGGATCTGTGAAATATCACGTGGCTGATCTGGATCAGATTGTGAAAACTGAAGTGCTGAATCTGAAAGAACAATAAGTGACTAGTAATGTACAAATTGTACTTCTTACGAGATGATTACTTTTAAGAAATATTTGATGAATATCTCGACAAGCTGATCAATGTAAAGTAGAGTTAAAGGTAGGAACACAATGTATGCTGCATGTAATGCTTATAGTAGACAAACTGTTTATTTTAGTGGGTGGAGGTAGGTTGTCTAAAGCTTTGAAGTATTCACTGTGCTCTCTTACACTGTATAAGTGTGAGGAGCAATATATTCTGGAAAGACGAGGATCAAGTACATGAGACTATATACACCCACTAAAAATATAAAAACTCTACAATACGGAATTTAACTCGTCTGTTGTGCGATGAAGAACATATTGGAAATCAACTAACTAATCAACTTCTGTTCTTGAAAGTAAACTAAGTGATGATGATGATGATGATGAGCATGTTACTTTTTACGTACTACGAAGCTAATTGCTAATATGACTGTCTACCTAAATAAGCTGTACATTTTCAAGAAAGTTGTAGATTCAGTGAATATTCTTATCTTTATTATGCAATTTGTACTTATTTCATTTTGCTATGTATACATGTACACTGTCTCTATCCAACTCAAGCTATATGACGTGCTGAAAATTGTGTAGAGTATTCCCGAAATAGCTTTCAAAATGAAGCCATTATTATTATCTTTATTCCTAGAGAGAGAGAGAGAGGGGGGGGAGAGAGAGGGAGAGAGTAACGTGAGAATAAGAGACACTAGGAAGTCGCGACAAAAGATCACCAGCATTTAGATTGTTTTGACCAGATTATTATTCAGGTATAATTGTCAGCTGACATTGAGTTCTTGCAAAACTGAGTGTTTGTTGAAGTGGTATCATTTCTGTGCACCTGTGAAGATCAGCGTCATATTACCTTGCAAATTCGGGTGGCAAGTTATTTTCAGTGAGGCACAAGCGTAGTTATCTTCAATGACACTATTTCCTTTGATAAATCAAAACTAGTTTATTCGAATCTGGCATAAGTGATAAATGCAGAGACGTTATTGAAGTCTAACAACTGCAATTAACGATCTTATGTATCACAAAAAAAGCTGTTGAACTTCACCTTTAACTAAATGATAAATGAAAGCATTATCAGGTAAACATTAGCTGCTAGGTAGAAATCTGTACATGAGCAATATGATACAGTGTAATGTTACTGACTCATTGATATGTTTACCTCCAGAGCTTTTCATACTATACATGATTTTCTGTTTGAATGGTTCTTAATGAATACAACTCCTATTATGCATCAACTGGTTACGTGTTGCAATCATAAAAAGCTTTAGATGATACTAATCTATTTTTCATCAGACTGATGAGATGATGATAAACTGTATGGAATAAACGTAGTTCATGTAAAGTACCAGTCACTTGAATATCCTATGCTCACACTTTCAACTACGTGACGCTTTGTCATGATTTGTAGCTTTTGATAGCTGTGTAATAAAATCTGAGCAACAATAGAGAAGTGAGTAATACAGAACACGAAGCATGCAACTAATAATTGAGTGAGAATTTAATGAATAAGATGTTCTCGTAAAAATTTATAACTCATAGCTATTATTGTATCATCAGAAATACTGTTTATGAAAAATTATCAGCATGTACTCTTTATGTAGGTCAATTGCTATTTTTGTAAATAATTAGGATACAAATATATGTTCACATATGTAGCTACTAATAAGTTCGTGTTCACCAAGGAATGTTGGACATCTTTGTTTACTATCTAAAATCGATCACCTCAACAGAATGGTTCTATACTAATGAGATACTTTTTAAAAGGTTTTAGGACACAAACCAATCGTTGTTTTACAGAAAAAAAAAACTTTTCAGTATGATATTTACACGTATATATTCATCGGTAGTGTATAATAATGAATTCAACACTAAAAACATAACTCAAATCTGAACTGTTACTTTGAAAAAGTAAGTATAACATGGATTTTATTTGAATGGATTTGCTTTCCTGTTACAACCTATACTTGCACGAAAGATATTAGGAACCTTGTGTACTATAGGTACTCATGCGGATTTGATCGTCGTTCTATACAGAGTGAACAACATACGGTTTAACAGTTACCAGGAGTTTCTTCATATGCTTACTTTTTTGGTATTATTATTATTATTATTTATCCCTTAGGTTGATAATGGAACATAGGGGTTCAGTAGCCCATCTCCACTGCACTCTGTTCTCTGCAAACTTTTGAACCTGTCGCCCCGACAGCCCACAAGCTCTCATTTCCTCCTCGCACGATCTCCTCCATGTAACCCTCGCCACGGACGCCCAACTGGTCACTTCTCATCGGGGTTCCACTCGACGACTTGGCCTGGCGCGTAATGTCCCCAGTTGGTCTTCTCAGTGTATGCCCAATCCAATCCAATCCATCTCGACTTCCTTCTACATGTTTTTTGAGTGGTGGGTTATTGGTTGGTTCGTTGCTAGCCAACCAGCCAGAGTTCCTTGTTGCTTATTCTTTCTGGCTATGTGAGCTTCAGTAACGAGCCA